AATATGATAAAACTTCGTAATTTATTTTCCAAGACCACGCTTTATCCACCCAGAAAATTTTACGAAAATATATTTTCTTTAAAAGATATGGGCTCAGTCTAGGAAATTTTGGGACAAACCTCGTACATGTGTACATATTCCATACTTCTTGGGATTTTTTTTTTCGATTCCTTCAGCATTTTTTAGAGTTTATTTAAGAAATTCTCTCAGTGCAAAACAAATGATATAGCTACATGCTGCTTTTTTTCAAAGAGGAAAATCTGTCTTCTTAAAGCGATTTCCCTCTACAAACGATATGAACTGCAGTACATTTTTAAAGATTTTTATTTAAGCATTGAATTCATATTTTGGGATGTCTTCGGTCCTATAACACACCTGGCCGTGCCGACAAATTGAATACCGCGCGTTATATTTACATTCTCTAATTTTTCCTTTTCATAATTGCTCATTTCGTTAATCTTAAATGTGAATTTAGTGCCCTTCAAAACTGTTGTGGTTAATAGATGTAAGAGCCGTTTGTGACGTCAAATGACGTTAGATGACGTTGCAAAGTTAAATGACGCAAACAAACGTTGCGAGGTAATAAGTAACAAAATAATTCTTAACGCTCAATACGTTAACTTTTAAGATAATTTTTCAGGGTTTAAGTTTTTCATGAAATTGAAATAAAACATTTTATATTTTGGTGTTCTTAGAGTATTGAAAATGCATATAGTTCCTACTGTGTATTCTCACGCGCGGTGACAAGGTTTCGCGTGTGTTATAGAAATTTGAACGTCGTGGATATCTAATAGATTTCATAAGGAAAATTACACTGAATGTAAATATTTAGTAATAAAAGATAATCAGAATATACCAGTAACTAGTATATTTGGCGTCATTCGTTTGAGATGAAACTAAAGACATCCATAGATAATAAAGCAAGTCATGCTTTACCTAGTTATGCCATTCTGGTTCATAAGTATGCGAAAAAAGGACACTTGTAAAGAAAAATTTAATGATTAAAATTGAAATATGTTTTAAGATATTATGTTCGAATATATCTTTCAAATTATTAATAAAACGTTCAATAAAACTAATATCATAAAACATCACATTGTGTAATGCAATTCACAATTTACAAGAATTTGGTTACATTCAAGAGGAGAAATTTGTACATGTTATCTTTATTATAATACATTTATGTATAGTAAATATTATCACCAGCTTCATAATCATCATCAGTTTCATAGAAAATGAGTGTTTGATTGTGAACTACATGTACATGATTTCTAAAACATATCGTAAATCTCTGGGTATTTTATCCATAATAGAAAAAAGCTTATCTTATTAAAGAGAGAACATAGACATCAGTTAGAAACTAGCTTGCGTTTTAATGTGTATTTTTTGAGCAAAACATTTCACTTCGTGTTCGCATTTCAAACAGATGCAGGTAGCTGTAGATGATTAAATGCATATAATTATTTAGGATAGATGTCTTCATATAATTGAGAGTTTTCGAGCTGACTATTGTTAAACTTATTTAAGAAACATATATATCATCATTTACTTTTGCTTTGAAAGTTTTTCTAGATAGGTGCTGACTCAAACGTATATTTACTTCATTGTAATTTTTTTTGGTTGAAACTGTTAATTAAGGGTCCTCTTCACAATTTGATTTGTGACGTATATAGAGAAAAATACTTTTACTTCCGTTTTTTTTTAGTTTGTACATTGACGATTTGGCTTGGTACCGCTTGTAAGAGAGTCGTACGAAAGCTTTGGAGATAAAGCTAAGAGAAAAATATGCAGAATACTAAGAACTACACCCTAATTATGAACAATTAACACATGGCATGGTTACTGAGTGATCGATGGAAAAAAGGTTTGCGGTTTGTTTTAGATAAAAGAACAACAAACGTCTGGGATTTTATAACATAATAATTCGTAAACAACGGGTACTGTTATGACAACAAACCTTCATATTATTTATATTTTCAGGCTAATAAACCGAGTCTGTTATGATAGTTCAAATTATGCACACTAAATTTTTCGTTTCAATAAAAAATTACATCATTGTGTGTTTATCAATATTGATAAAATAGTAAGCGTTTCTAGTTCTCATCTTTTGTATCTGCCCAGTTCAGAAGCCAATAATGAGCACATATAGTTCATTGTATGTTGACGTATGCGGAGACTTCCCAAAGTTTTTGAGTCCTAGGCAACAGGAAAGATAACTCCAAAAAGAAACTTTTCTTACAAAGATTTTGAAAATATTTTTTCTACATCAGTGCATTTAATTTTAATGCAATTTTTTAATCTTATCTTATTCATTAATGTTTCTTCTCGCCAAAAGGAGTCTTCGTTGACTTTACTCGAGATTTGTTTGAGAGAAAATGAATTTAATGCACTTTTTTAAAATAACGTAAATTTCAATAAAAAAAAATATGTTGATCGATTCAATAAATTTTTCATGGTTATTCCGTGAGCTTAAAAATATACGAAAAGGTAAGACAAAATTTGTTGTGTTAGGTATGAAAACGCCTTGGGAAATATTTTTTAAAACTTGTGAAAATATATATATTTTTTAAAAATCATTGCTAATTTCATTTTGATCCCTGTACACTTTTAAATGATTGATATGGTTGTTAAAAGTGATGCTTCTGACTTTCTGCTGATCATGCCCTTAGGCAATAGAACATGGGTGTTGACAAAGGAAGTCAATATTACCGCTACATCTCCCAATATTTCAACTTACTACCGCTACTTTTTTTTCAAAATTTTGATCAATCATTACTGCTACATTTTTTCGGCCGAATACCATTAATTACCGTTCCAACCAAAAATTCACTAACTACGTAAAGTACAATTTGGATATTAATTCTAATTAAAATGAGCATATATATATACATGTATAGGACTTTAAGTCGGTAGTCGAATTGTAATTATTAAGTTCACTTGAACAGACTGGTTACGATTTGAAAATTTGCGACAAATCGGGAGAATGTCGGATGACATCGGTGGACATAAATTTGGTAAAAATAAGACCTTCAAACACTCAAAATTGTTGACATTTACCGAAAACTTTGCAAAAGCAGCTGCAAAACCTACCTTGATTAATCATTGGCTTGGCATCGGCCAGTTAAAAGCAAGCAAAACAATTAAGAAAAAAGTCAAAATTCCAGATACTTCCAATTTTTTTTTCAAATAACTTCCTTTTTGATAATTTGATTATGATTTAAAAACGTAGTTATTGATGTATCTCCTAATAATTGTTCATTTTCTCTATGTGACAATAGAACTTAAGCATAATTTTGTTTCCAAATCCTTTTGTTAGTTTTAATGTTTATCTTTTGTTAACAGTGCATGTAATATACCTACAACCCCTTCCTAAAATCTGTTAAAAATATGTTGTTTCAAATTAATATATGGGTGCTTTTTAAATAAAAAATTTCCATACAACCAATCTTTGAATAATAATTATAATTTTATTTCAATGAAGACAACGATTCAGCTTTTACATTTTTTTCCTTTGGAGAAAAGCTTTAAATATCGCATATTTCAAAAGTTAACGTCAAGCGGAGAAATACTTTTTTTAACGTAACTCATTGTGACGTAGGCAAGTTATGTTATTAAGGTCAAACGACACGTTCATCAAAAATATATAATTTTTCTGAAGATATTGTCATTGAAGAATAGATACTAAAACAAGATCCCTCGCAAAAAATAAAGGTACCTTACCAGCCCTTTGGAAAGATTCCAAAGATTCATATTTCTTATATATTCTTTATGGGTAATCTTCTGAACGGCCTATCTCACCATTTTTTGGTGTACATATATTTAAAAACATTTTGAAAACATTAAGGAACGTGTCGTCTGACCTTAATATACAAAATGGATAAAACAGATTAACCAATCAAATGACGTGTTACAACTGAAATTAAACTAGATCTAATTGATTTGATTAGATTTGATTTTAAACCGCTAACTGAGAACATAATTGACACTAAATAATTGGTAGGATTTTAATATGCTTTTGGATTATAGATTATGACAGTTTCTAAATGGTTTTCAAGATTTCTTGTCAAATGCAGTTCTCTTTGTATCCGTTCTTTTTTTAAACAGTTCTTTTGCCTTGCCTAGACACAAAAAGTGCAGCTAATGTAATTTCTGTATGTTCCGTGCATATTGTAATTCTAAACGCAAGTTGATTAAACAGTATTTTTCTTCTGTTCATCTGCTTTCGATGTTAGAAAGCTGGTTTTCTCTCAGGGTAAATCAGGGTTACTTTCTGAAACCTTACAGCATGTAAGATACTTCTAACAGCAAAACTTTCAAAGTTTCAGACCTGATATGTAAAATAATTTTCTTTTCAATAGTTAAATTTTGCTATTTTTAAAGATAAACAATACTTTATTATCCTGTCCTTTGCATGTTTCCGTTATACAATATTGTCATTTTTCGGCGATCCATTTCGACAAAACCAAGACGAATGTGGAAAATGTGCAAACTTTCTTAAGTACTTAGAAAAATACTCATCTGAAAAAGATCAGTTTAGAAATTTCTTCTTAATAGTATTAAAGAAAGGTAGACTGATTAAATTTGTAATAATCTATTGTGAAAACTTTTAGATAGAACGTCATATCATTTATTAATAAAGTCTTCTTTTAAACATCGACGTTGAAAGGTTACGATTATGATTCATTAGACTATATACTGAACCTTTGAAATTAGATATTTAATACATATAAGCTTGTGTCTCGTCCTGAAGTTTGATTTTGTTACTTTTGATTGCAAGAATAATGTGATCTTAGTTTGTGCGAAAAAAACATGTGACTTTAAAAAGTGCGTTGAGCTGTATCTTTTGCAGACACATAACAGAAATACTATCTAAAATTAAAAACTTGTCCTGTATATTTAATAAAAAAAAGATAACATTAGATTTTAATAGTAGTCTTTATTCAAATTATTTTCAAACTTGGCAAATTCATTCACGAATATATTTATATGTATATGTCATAAAAAAGGGGGAAAAACAGAAAAGATGACATGCAGTAGATTCCCTTTAAATAAATGATATGCTTTTACACTGTAGCTATTCTAAGGAAAAATACACACATATATGCATTTACATCATGTAAATTGTGAAACAGTATCTACATATTGGCATATATTCCCTCAGAAGAAACAAAGAAGGATACCAGTTGATAGCATCGTCTGTATTCTTCCTGCAAGAAAAAAAAAATAATATGGAGAATTAACTTTAAATTGTTTATGTCTTGTCTTTCTTACATTAAATTAAACAACATGTGACTTGTATTTTGAAGAAGTTTCCATGCATTTACATTTTAGTTTACAGTCACAAAATTACATTTAAAAAGATTTCAAATGAAAACTTTATCATCATTTAAACGTATATTTAATTCTCGAAAATATTTGTGTATCGGCATTTTTACTCACTAGATTGGTAAACATCTCTGGTCTCCTATACTGAATTTGTCGGACAATAGTGAACATGTCCACTACACCGTCCAAATGGAGCTCTTCCATAGCATTATACAATGCACAAAATACCCCAGCTGATCCAGCACCGTTCCTTTAAGTGCACAAAATAAAAAAAAGGAGTTGAAACCAATAATTGTGTGATATATATATAAGAGTTTTATTGATTCATTTAAAATTCGTGTTTTTTTTTTTTTACTTTTTTGTCAGTTTATAATAAAGGTTTTGTTTCTGTGGAAAGGATACAATATATGGTAGACATAACGTACTTGCTAATGACAACTGCAGGAGATGTTGACGCTTTCTGTTTTTCTAACAACAACTCTGTTCCTTTCACCACAGAAACATCGTTTTCAGAGGGTATTACAAAGACAACAACATCTCTTTTGTGTTCCTTCAAATTTATTTTTAAAATAAAAAGGCTTCCCAGCTAATAATTTTGTATAATTTTATTTCATTGCACATTTTTGTAATGCAAAACTTTTTTAAAGCAAGAACCAAATAAAAAACAACATTGATTTTCGTTGGAAGTTTAAATCATAACATTCCAAAATTCTTACATTGTTTGACATGGAAAGGGTTTCTTGCGAGACTCCATTAATCGTGCTCCCACTATTTCCGGTGGTTAGGATGAATGGAGGACATGAATTGGAGAGTCCACGCTTGGGAAGTAGGGTGATTTCCTGAATATGTATATAAAATAAAAAAAAAATAAATAAATAAAAAAACATCGCTTTGATGATGTTTGTATATGTAGATTTCAATATAATTGATAATCTTGAATGATTTTTTTTTTCAGCAAAATGGAAAGAGAAAATGTGAAGAAAAGATATATAAATGTTATCGTAATATGGATTTCAATACATATTTTTACTTCGTCATTGTCTGTCAGGATCACTAATGCATCCACTTCGTGGTCGATACACAATCTCCAAAGATCAACATCTGTTTCAGGAAGAGGTTTTTGGGTTAATATAAATCCCCTAAGGTTAGTAAAAGTCTGAAATTTGAATAACAAAAATACAATAAATAATTTTTGAAGAGAAATTTAAAGTTATGAAAAAGTTAACTGTAGTTCTTTGCACAGTATCTGTTACCAATTAAATGCACGTATATGACTTTATACCATCATTAAACAATTCAATAACACATTCAGATTCTATTCATATAATAGAAACTATGCAGCACTGAATTATTCATATTTTCTATTGATAATTAAAGTAAAAATAATTCTTTATATTTCAATATATCAAAACACCCTATAAATATTTTTTTACAAAATAAATAACTTATGCTTCCATGAATATTTAGTCATCAATAGTACGGCATGTTTGTTGGGTTGCTTTTTTATTTCAATGTTTATCTCTGAAACTTTATATTTTTATAATGTATGTAACACAGCACTGTTTAGGCCTACTAGAGAGGAATAAATGGAATAAAGACGTGCAAAAACTGGAACTTTCTGAAACTTGATTTATTTTATAAAGCTGTTTACTGTAACATTACTTAAATACTTACAGAAAAAACATAGTATACCCCACTCTGTATCGAATTAAGTGAAATGTAAAAAAAAAAAATAATTTACCATTTGTTTCTGCATTTTTTGTACTTTCTAGAAGGTGATGCTGCTCTAAACATAAATCGATTTTAAGAAAGCGGCGCTTTTAAAGATAAGGAAACCATCCTGTTTTATATCCAAAAAATTACTTACATCTATTAAGTGTACATGTATGCCTTTGAAAAAGGTGATTTAATAAGCTACCTTGAAGTTAAACATGCCAAACCTGTACACACAAACACGTTAAAATTGATTACTTATAATCTCTAGCACTAAACAAAGGTTTTACATTGGTATTAATATCCTATCTAAAATCTGTAAATAATTTTCTGTTTAATTATAAAATGCATTTTTCATTGTAAAATATATACTTGACATGACTTCATACAATGCGTCTTTTTTGTCATTTTTACCAAAATGACGTCATGTCGACAAGTTTGCTGCGATCATGATTTTTTTTTATAAACTGTTGTCTGGGATTTAACTAGCAACTGTGTTTAATGCATTGATAATTAAGTTTTGATGTTGTTAATTATGCTAACACAGTTTAAAATTGCAAAGTATTTTATTTTCTAGTATTATGAGGAATACAAATTGTACATATTTTTGTTTGACGTCACAGAAAACTTTTCCCGTAAAAATTAGGCCCCGCCCCCTTTTTCAACCCGTAACAGTGCTGCGAAATTAATGATTTGTGAAGAATGTTTTAATAAAGGATTAAAACATGGTAATATGCATATATTTTAGATATAATTTTGTTCCATCTTTTAAATATATATATCCTGTCTTACTACGTATTGTGAAAAAAAAATCAAAACTCAGGATTCACGTTTATCATCTGAAAGAATCATGGAGCAATCGATTATGAATACCACCTTAAAGTACAAATAAAAATAATCATTTTTTCTACTGTTAGATATTTCTTTTAAAACATAGAATAACTGTTTGTTTTCCAAAATCAATTAATTGTTTCAATATTATTTAAAATCTAAATAACTATTAAGCCTTCTTTCGTTTCCAAAATATCGACTCCTAAACATTTTAAATCTCTTTTGCGCGATGAATCGTGCGTATGCGTTAGCAATCGGGAAAAGTTGTTTAAGGTGTAGGATCTTTCGTTTAATAAGTTGAATCGTGTGCTAATCGTGCGGGATCGTCCAAATAACATGATCTTTCGTGTAAGTTGTCAACACTACATGTAAGTAGGGAGGCAATTCTTCTCCAACATCCAAACTAGTATTCAAGTTTATTGTCAGACGTTTGTTCAATTGTCACTCTTTATTTTGCTACATTGAAGCACATAAATAAAACTTACCGCTATGATAACTGCATTGATATAATCATTTCTCCCTTTCACGTACGATGTCAAATATGGTCTGAACTTGGAAACTGCAAATAGTACAACATGTATTAAACATCTTATAGCGATTCTAATTTCTCTATTTGAAACAAATACATTATAAACTAAAAACAATATGAACAAAGTTACATATATAAATTAATGTTTTTGGAAAGAAATACTGGGCAAAATTTCGTCGCTGAAATTTTTTGCTTTATTTTCGGCCTTCCTTGCATCATTTTTCTCCTCGTCATTGTAAAATGGTTTCAGGGTTGATAATAACTGTAAAATAACACATTTCCTGTTAAGTTTATATGAAAGTTGGTCATTTTGATAACAATCTCGTTAATTTAATGCCTGTAAAATACCTTAAATTCTTTGTATAAAGGTCTTTGATTCAGTGGTGAACTGTCATTCAGTAATTCTTCCGCTTTGGATTGCAAATCTACCGCAGAGATTACAATTCCTTTTCCTTGGAAGCCACATTGCAATGCTTTATGTAAAAATATGTATTGCTCCTAAAAAAGGTAGAACATCGCTGGAATATAGTTAGAACAACTTACTGCATTCATTTTGATAACTTAAAGAATACTCTACTACTCACTGGTGTTTGAACCATGGTCATACGATCCTCTCTCATTTGTTTTACATAATCAAAAACGTTGATCCGCCCTGTTTCTCTCCCTTGTCTCAGCAAAGAATCAAGACCAATAAAGGTACCTGTTCTGCCGACTCCCGCACTGCAAAAGAAGATTAGACAAGAGGATATGAAACACGCCGCTCATTTGAGTACGCTAGGTAGGACCATAATAGATATGATATTACTCAGTCCCATATTGAAAAGTTTAAGAGGGTAAGCTCAAAACTACCTTAGGATATACTTATATATCAATTTTGCTAATTATGACTATTTAATCTTACATATATTCGAATCTACTCTACCTGAGGATGCTTCTATAATAAAATGACTCAAAATTGTTATGCTGTTTTCACCAAAAGATTTTCTCAAGACGATTCCTATACACGCATTTTTATGTAAACTTTTGACCTTGTCTTTTGCCCCCAACCCTTGGGATCATTATTTGATCAAACTTGAATCTAGAATGTCTAAGAACCATGAAGAATGCTTCTGAATGAAGATTACTACTTATAGATTTGTTGTTCTTGAGAAAATTTCTCAGATATTTGGTATTAGCATTTTTTATAATGCATATACATGTTTCATTTTACATTCAAAAGTTAACGATTTAAATGATTATTAAGACAGCTCTGTCCACACAAAACTTTATCAAATTTTCTCCTATCTACAAACGAAAACTAGGTAAGGTTCTACTTACATATTGTTTCTCCCCTAAGTTCTTATTGATAGAAAAGAGCCAGTTGTCTCAATCTTCTTTAGATTTACTACACCCAGAGCTTGACATAATTTCCCTAGGATACTTGTCATTGGTGTTTAAAGTTTTTTATTAACTTTTATTTTGACCTTATCCACAAGGATTCCTATCTACTACTCTTAAATGTCCATAACATACAACACACTCTGTTATTAATCCAAAGCATTTTACAGAAGAAAAAAAAAACGAGGAGAAAATTTTAAAAAAGATAATAACTAAGCAGTACCTTACAATATTTCATTCAAGTCTATAGGTCAATTAAAAAAAGATAATGATAAGAGTATAAGTAAGAAAGTAAAGAGATATAACGCATAACGCTTAACAAAACTCAAGCTCATAAATAAGAACGCATCCCACCATTATATGCTAATAGTAAGAAATTAATTGAAAGTTTGTACAAATTTACCACTTCATCAAGAGCTACTATTTTTGTAAATTCAATTTGATCATTTCTTTTACTAATTTGGTGTAATATCTTCATTCCCTTTTCATCAGTAAGCCTTTGTGAAATTTACTAGGGTTCAGACCATTGGAACCTTAATCTTAATCTAATTCAGGTATTCCGAATGTCGGAAACTTTTTATTGCTTATTCACTATCCAACATTTACATGTAATACTGCATTTTGAAAGGTTTCAAAAGGTTTTGAATTGCATACTCTTAGTCAAGTCTATTCTACACGACATGGTTATTACTGTTCTTGTAAGGAAAATTTTTACAAATATTTCTATTTCAATTTTTTTTCCTTTGTGATAACTATCTGACAGTTAGCGGCGTTTATTACTTGATAATTCTACCGGAATATGAATTTAGCAGGTCGAGTAGGATCTAAGGAGACCTAATATGCATGCAAATCTCGTAAAGAAATAATAATTGCCGATGATGCAATATGTGTGTACCTGGTAGAAAGAGTATGGTATCAGAAACCTTTCGGTAGCGAAGCTGTCTCGATACAGATTACAACACTTTCCTTTTCGGCGATTACTGTTTAATTTATATCTCTCTTTCCTTCTCTACTTCTCTCTTTCCCTCTCTCTCTTACTCTCTGTAATGATGTTTGCACTTATATAAAACCCTATAGGATAGAAAACTTTTCACCTGCAGTGGACTAATAGTATGTCATCAGGATGTTTTCCCTTTGTAACAGCGTTATGGAAATGAATAAGACCGATCTCTTCTGGCGTACCATGATCAGGCCATGCAGTGTAATGGAAATGGGTCAATTCTCTCCTCTCTTTTGTCTAGAATTTAATCAACACACATTATAAGATACGCATCAATAAAATTATATATATATATATATATATATATATATATATATATATATATATATATATATATATATATATATATATATATATATATATATATATATTTATTTATTTATTTATTTATTTATTTAGCGTAAAAATTAATAACTGTTATGAAAAATAAGATTTATTAAAATCATTCGTTATTTTTATTTAATTTTTTTTTTGAAAACTTTTCCTCCGTTTTCTTTTTTATCAATTTTAATCTATTAAATACATATATTTACTTACATTTTTTCGCTGAACTGACAATTTTCGAACAATGTAAAATGCATATGTTTTCTCCTCTAAAAGAGAGACTTCACATGGACCTACATTCATTGCTTTGTCTTTAGTTGGCCAATACTGTGTACACTTGTTCTAAAATTAAGAAGTTGATAACAGGGGAAACAAATTGAGAAATCATATTAATGGAATAAAAGAAGGATATGGCGATAACGAAGAGTATTCAATATCTAAATCCATAAAACAATACAAAATAGGAGCAGAGCAAACACGGACCTCCGCAACATCAGAGATGGGATCAGATGGAGTAAGCGTCTCCTGCTGACCTGTCACACCCGCCGTGAGCTCTTTGTCATAACCAGGAAATAACGGAAAAAATCCGGTACCTCGAATTACCGAAATGCCCCTGATTTACCGAAATGCCCCTGGAAATTACCGAAATGCCCCCTAAAACTACCGAAATGCCCTTTAAAAACTTAAATATTTTGATTAATATTAAAGGTGGTGAGTTTATTATACATATTTTAAACTTTAAAATTAAAAAAAAAATTACAAATGTGTTTTTTTTGGTCAAAAACATGTGTTTATCTAAGAGAGATAACTCTGGTATGTGTAGTTGATCTATCTCTACGTCATTTTTCTTCGAAAAAAGAATAACATAATTCTTTCAATTTCTATATAACTATCGATTTTCTTTTTACCTGAATAAAAATTTTCTAATGCTTAAAACTCATCGATCATTTGTATAAATATATATATATATATATTTAAAATTCGTTGTTAAATCCCGAGAAAAAAAATCGTTGCCGGTAGGTTATAACCTAGCTAAAAGCTAGGCAACTTCATATCTAATCAAAATAAAGTTTGATATATTTGTTAATAGTTAAATTATTTCATAAAAATGAGACATATATGTACAGTAATCTACCGGTATTAAATCCGATCCGAGGAAAATCGTACAGTTATATATATTTTTAAACAAATGAAAGCGATGTAATTAAGATTTCATATAAGCAGAATTATTTTCTGAATGTTGTCAATTTACATGCCGAATATTTTTAATTTATTGTTTTAAACTTTTAAGTTTAATATGCTGTAAGCATTTCATAGCTTTGCTTATTTGGTGTATTAAATTATACAACTCTGAACCCCAGGGGTTTAGTCTCCCCTGCTGCATACACTACTGTTTATTATGATTGTGTACCGTTATCCATTCAAAAATTTGATGTCCTGTCTGTTGACAAGTACGTGTCATCCTCAGTAATTGCCATTTTGGGTAGTTCTGTATCCATCCAGTTTTAATGAAAGTTATTCTTAAAATTTATAAACAAAAAATAATAAATAACGTTAAAATATTAAAATCCAAATAAAATAATGTCACTTTATTAAAAGAAATAAATTTAGTGACTAAATTACAATCATTTTCCTTTACTGAATCGCAGGCGTCAATTCCGACTGGAATAAAAAACGATGTATACTTTGTACATTTTAAAAAATTTGGAAATTTCAAGGCAACAGAAAAAACGACGGTTACCTCGACAGACGGAAAGATGACGATTGTTAGGCCAAAGTCGTTAGGTAAGAAATTAGGACAGTGGAAGAGAAGGATCAATGAGAGGACTAGCACTTTCAAAAAGGGAAAATGTAATTAAATTATACGGACGGTGCGTACGCCGTATCTCCTTGTCGAGATGCCCCCTTTTGGGGTAGGATTCGACCGTCCAAATTTGATTGTATTTCCTGACAATTAGTAATCCTCTTCCAGGAACATTCAGGCCCTACGTCGCCGTGTCGCGACATTGCGTTATGCATGGGGATCTGAAAACTAATGTACATAACAGTTGTTGTAAATAGTATTAATTATCAGAGGAATTTTGTATATATTATTAGTTTTAACGTTTAATCATGTAATTAATATGTGAAATTCTTGCATTTCAGCTTCTCCTTATTCGAAGGTCTTATTTGTAAATAAGGTTTATTTTCACTTCATAATTATTCATAGAATTTTTGTATTTATAAATGACATAGAGTACTCTCGATCCAGCTGAGAATTAATTTCATTAACCATGTCTTTTTTTCATGATTTTTTCGTTTTCTTTTTCTTTATTTTTCTTTTTTTTCATTATTTATTTTTTAATTCAAGTTTTCTTTCTTTTAATGATTTTTTTTTTAAATTCAAGTTAAGCTTTTTGAAAATTTGCCAAAAATACCATGACGTTTTCAATTTCTTATAGAATTATTTTTTATCGATTCGTTTTTTTCTTATTAGGTAATCTGGGCTGAATCAATTATTGTTTCAAGAATGATCCCCCACTATCCATCTTTAGATTCTTTAAATTCATATTTCAGTTTTCGTCTTTGGGTTAAATTATTATGATTTTAAACTTGATCTTTGTGTTAATTTTTTTTCTAGTTTGATTTTTTAATAATTCATCTTTGGCTTTCAATTTTTTTCTTTCAAAATTATGGCTCTTACTGAGAAGGCCTCCACGTGGCAAGAGCTGGGCAACGGTATCTTGGGGGTTGCGGTGGGTGGTAGATTGTAATTTAATGATACCGGCGAATATTAAAAAAGAAATGTTTGGTTCCAAATTAAAATAAAAAATGAATAAAAATCTCTTTTATTTTTAAACCTGACGTTATTATACTGTACTTATATGAGGTGTAAATAATAAAGTGTACTTACTTGTACTTTTGTCATGTTTTCTTCTTCTTCTTTTTATATATTTAACAAGACATACCGTATAAAATTTTGTCAACAAATTAAAAGAGAAAGAAAGAAGAACATGGATCATTAAATCATACAGTAATAATATAACAACGGCCAATAACACGCTTCCTGCTGCGATAATGCTGCAAGAGTTATCGCTCTTAGTAGTCACTATATTCGAGCGAATTAAAAGGTTGTTTTTTAATTTTTGTTCAAAAAACACAGTTTTATAAATAAAATTTATCATAAATTGTCATAAAATGACCATTAGAATATAATTCAAGGGGCATTTCAGTAGTTTTAGGGGGCATTTCGGTAAATCAGGGACATTTCGGTAATTCGGGGTAACCGAAAAAATCCGTCGTTAATTCAGTGTATTAATAATGGACAGCAATTGCTATGAAAAACGTCAGTCACCATTTGACTCAATATGATAAATTGTATTTGCTTACAAGGTCATTGTATCCACCATAGACTATTCGATAAACAGAATGTTACATTCCAAAATTAGACTTACCTTTCCATTCTCTACTAAGTTTGTCAACATGACGATATCTTTTACTTTTTCTTGCCAAATCATTCTCCAGAAATCTGTTAATGTGTTGTTTTTCGGACCTTTAAATGAAATGTGTAAAATGCTTATTATATTGATAATGTAAACATTATACTGCCTTGTAATCCTTAAGTAGCCCAGTCGCTAGAGCACTAGAACGTGCCCCATAATCTAAAGGTCTTGAGTTCAAATTACAAATCTAACTGATCTTAGTCAGAAAAAAGTAGTTACTGTTCTCTTGCCAAGACTTTGGCACATTCTATTGAAATTTTGGGGTTTTTGGATGTGGTCTTTAAAACCGAGATTTGGCGACACCATGTTTGCACAATAAAGAAACCTCACTGAGCATTCGTCCTAAGTGCGGAGAAAAAAGGTCAAAATCTGATACCCTTCACTAGTGTCATCTCTGTATGGTTGAAAAATCTCCAATGAAGGGTAAATCAATATAGAATCGCTCAACCGTACCTTGTGCAGCGATATATGCAGCATCCCCTTTGTTATCCTAAAATTGAAGTGCAAAGTACTTTAAAATATTTGATATCTTGCTTGAAATTAGTCGACAATAAGTTATCAATTTGAAAAGGTTTTCGATGAATATACGTATATAGCATAAATGTATAAAAGAATTTTAACAAATGCACCTTCGATATGGAAAAAGGTATTTTTTTTTCAGTTTTATACGTGATTAACAATTTAACAATTGATCACCAATATAATGAAAATAATCTAATTGAGGCGATTAAACAACCATAAATTAAAACCCTCGCTAAATTAATGCTAGAAAATAATCACTTATTAGAAAGCGGTCACGCGATGATTATTTGGTCATAGATTTCATACTTGAATAGTTGTACATGTAAGAATAAATACAAAAAGTGCACTTTTCTGTACAGATGATGAATGCTGTAATATTGATGATTAAAGAAATGAAATATATGTAGATAAGGAACAAGTTCAAAAGTCTACACATTGTAACACAAATACAAAATAGGAACAGAGTAAGGCTTTGATTTTGAATACTGTTTGTTATTTCTATATCATTCTCCAATTACTAATTGAATATAAAGAAGCACAGTTATATAATATAAACAATTTTTAAGGAAGTTCTGCCTTGTTCAGTTTATTTCGTTAAGTAAAGGAAATAAAGACTGATATTGATGAAGAGACAACAATTATTTAAGTTTGTATGGGTGAAAAAATGGTTTGATAGGATTTGTTATCCTTGATAGAAAATACTAGTGCTACAAGTATGGCTCATGCTGTCGTGTTGTTTTAAATATAACGTCACATAACACTACATAATATTGTTTCGTGTGCGTTATATGCAGTGATACATTACAGTCAGATGAATTTTATTCAAAGATCCTAGAATTTGTGTTCATCTTTTAACATTCAAAATATAAACACGCACCGGAGAAGTCTCTTGTCAATTACAAGAAAATATAGGTTGTTTTTAATTTAAAATTTTACATTATGTTAAGAGTATTGATTCATTGATATCCGTATACCAAGGTAGCGATAATTAAATATTCATTATAATAAGTTTTCTTTGGGGACATGCTATAGGTCTGAAAAGAAATGTCTTTGGAACATTCGTAGGTGATGATTTTTTTTTTGTAAAGGCTACACTAAAAATAAATAATTTTTGAAATGCTTTTTTTACATTTTGTTGTGCGAAGAAAATTGCACCTTCTTAAATTCAATCTGGAGTTTATATATGTGTACATGTATTTATTGTCGCTATTTTGTTTGATAGTTATTAAACGAAATTATTTTTCAATTTGAAAACAAAAATAGCAATTTACTTGATAGAATATAACACCCTTGAGTAAGAACTTGACACCTTCGACATGAGAGAAAAAGCGCCTACAATACGCAAGGGAAATTTGCATATAATTATATTCACAACGTCGATCTTTGATTTGCAAAAATTAAAAAAAAAATAATTATTATATTTTCGCTCTTTGATCTTTAAAAAATGGGATTTAAAGTTGCAAATAAATTATAAAACATTTCAAGACAATCATAATTAAAGTTCTTTCTCTTTTACCTTTATGTAATTTGCATTAATATAGTCGTTGTCTGAATCCTTCCATTTCTCTTTAAGTATAACTCTAGAATGCTCATCTGAAAAAAAAATATTCCGAATTAACTGATAATTTACCAGAGAGATGGTAAAAAAGTAAAAAAAAAATTAAGCATAAAACAAGAAAATAAACGCAATGCTGATATTTTTTTTTTTATTAATAAACTTACTCTAGTCACCATTTGCGTATATTTAAACATTATGAACTAACCTTAAAAATGTAAAGTACATACATCGTCATATTTAAGGAATGAGTTGTAAAAGGCTCTCAGAACTAATATTCTTATTTCATTTGGTTCTCTATTTTTTTATTATTCTTTTTTTTTGTCATATTAAAAGCAAAACCATAGAAGGGATGATATTTCCTAGTAACATACAATAAACACTCATTTTGCAAAAAATTCAAATATTTGATCCTAATTTAAAAGATTATAATAAGTCAATTCCGGTCTTACATGGAAATGTTGCTTTAAAGCGATTTTTTGCAATATTTTCTGTCTTTCTTGCTGCTTCACAAACATTGATGTTTGATGATGGAAGCCTCTGTGAAGATCAAATGTAAAAATACACCGCTAGGATTTTTAGAAAAAAAGACGGTTTAAGAAATAAACACCATACCATACAAAAACAATGAAAGTTCTTATACGACAGGTTTATGTAATTTCAATAAAGGCATAGATTCAAGATGTTACCCTATACTCTGCAAGAAACTGTTTGTTCTCCAGGTCACTCTTTTCCTTAATCACATCTGGAAAATCCTCAATAGTTATGTTTGTATTAACCTGGACTGTGTTGTAATATCCATTATCCTCATCATTAAGGGACGAGTGTACTTGGCCGAACGCATCATTTGTATTCTTTGATTGGCCTTCAGAATGACATTTTTGTTTTGTTATTTGCATATTTCATTAATAAACAGAAAAAAAATCTATCCAAAATTATTTTATCTAAAATAGTACCACTTATATCACTGAAACGAATCTCCTCTCTGCTTTCCCTATCATTGTGCAATTCACACGTGTTGATGATATCCGTGCCATTTCCTTTCATATCCTTTTGACGGTACCGTCTACAATAATGTGCCAAAAAGAAGTTATCTTTAAAAAATTGAAAAAAGGAAAAAAATATCAGTAACAGAATGATTCTGATACCTATATACATAAAAATACACCTGTAGAAAAGTAAAAGAGATACTCCGGCGATAAGGAAGAGCAGAACTGCTGAAACAGTCCCTCCGATTACTGCTGTTTTATCAGACTGTTCTTTATGGTTGAAAAGGTATTCTATCTTATCTACAATGCAAGAAATATTCCTTTGGAGAGCTGTGATTGACAGATCGTTTTTGTAGTTCATGTAGGTGACTTTAAAACGATTGATTTTTTTGTTAGTGCTTTGATAGTGTTTTTAAATTGATTACATGGTACGATGCTTACGATCACATTTTGAGCCATTCCAACTTTTTTGACAACCATAAAGACAGACCCCTGTCAATTGCACACAAACAGGATGTGTCATATTGCATTTCCCACACATGAAGTTGCATTTGTCGCCAAACATTCCATTAGTGCATACTTAAATAAAGGAGGGTTATTAAATAGGCTAATAAAAGAATATACATCTATGTATATGTCGTGTTATTTTCCTGTTATTCATCTTATATAAGGGACCTTAAAGATACCTTCACACTTTGTGCCATTCCAATTATTTTGGCATCCGTTTTCGCACACACCAGTGACGTTGTTACAAGATGTCTCATTTTGACAATGCCCACATATCATGGAGCAGTTTTCTCCATAAAATCCCTTTAAGCATTCTGCAGAAAAAATAGTCATTGTATTCAGTATCAGTTTATATTTAGTCGTGAAAAAGATCTATTTTAATTAAATCACGCCTTGTTTTAAACATCAAAGATCGTTTATCAAAATTAACTAAGATTCTATATTTAAATGAATGTCTCAATTCAACTAATGTAAGAAATCATATTCAAGTATTCACAGTCAAAAATATCACTTTTGATTTTTTTATACATTAAAACGTTCTCTGACAAATTCCAATGACATGTAATTTAATTGAAAAATAATTATGCTAATTACTTGATGTAAACGTAATTAGTTCAAAGTTGACACCAGAGAGCTTTAATGTTAAAAGCATTTACTATGGAATCCGGATAGGGCCACGCAGTTCACTATCGCATCATCGCACCATCGACATTTGAGTCGATGGTGCGATGACGCGATAATGCGATGACGATGGAGCGATGAAGCGATAACGATGAAGCGATGGTGCGAAAGCGCGATGACGATGACGCGATGGCGCGATACTGCGATGACGATGAAGCGATGGTGCGATGGAGCGATAAAGCGATGACGCGATGGCACGATAGCGATGATGCGATGGTGCGATAGCGATGATACGATAACGCGATAACGATGAAGCGATGCTCTATCGTGTCATCATCATTGCTCTATCGCACTATCGTCATTGCATTGTCGCACTATCGCGCTATCGACTTTTATGCGCATGTGCCATTGAGAATAGAAATGGCTTCAGGTAGCGAAGATATGAACAGAATATATATCAGAAATAGATCTTACTGGGTTAATAAACTTCACTTGGGCATTAAAATTTACCATGTCTTTCCTGCCAGACATACAACTATTTAGGAGATTGTTAATTTATAGTTTCATAATCAAAATAATAAATACTCATCTTGTGACTGATGTAAAAGATATCGAAATCCACGTGATCTAGATTTTGATTTATAAACCGGGGGGGGGGGGGGGGGGGGGTTAATACTGTTGATTGGAAAATAATTACGATGGTTTTAGTTTCACTTTGTTCGCGATTCATCCTTTTTCTGCAAAATTAAACCCATCGTGAATGTTATCATTAACTATTAAAAACGAGTAAATACTTATACGAAATTTAAATTAATTTCTTGCGTCGTGAAATCAAGGACCTGTATACTAGTATATAGGTCCCTGGTGAAATTAAAAGCATCGCTATTGTACTTTCTGAGAAATCCTGACATTTAAGCACCGTTAAATACAGTATTCTCAATCAAGAAAATTAAAAGCAAACACAAGACAAAAGTCTTCCTCCCTCTCTCCTCTTGGTACATGTACTTCGTGTTTGTTATTTAAAATATAATTATCAAATACAAAATAAAAGTCAGTTTATTATCACTGGGCAATCAAATCTTTCCTCGAATTTTAACTACTAATGACAATACACATGGAAGCTCTTCTGTATAAAACCAAAGAAGAAATATGATTTCTTTACCGTTTTCGTTAAAGAAATATTCTTGAATCTTTTATTAACAAACGCCATGTTATGTAATGACTGCTGGGAATGCCATCCTATCTATATAGTCGATAGAGCGATTGTGCGATGACACGATGTCGATAGCGCGATAAAGCAATGACGATGACACGATATAGCATCGCATCATCACTATCGCGCCATCGCATCATCGCTATCGCACCAACGCATCATCGCTATCGTGCCATCGCGTCATCGCATTATCGCTTCATTGTACCATCGCACCATCGTCATCGCGCTATCGCGCCATCGCTTCATCGTTATCGCGCTATTGCACCATCGCTTCATCGTTATCGCACCATCGCTTCATCGTCATCGCATTATCGCGTCATCGCATCATCAACTCAAATCTAGATGGTGAGATGATGCGATAGTGAACTGCGTGGCCCTATCCGGATTCCATAATTTACAGAGTTAACTGGTTAAACGTCTCAAATCTTTGTCGCGTTTGAATACTAGAACATATTCGTGTAAAACAAGTCATACTGTCACACATGGGTCCATCCCAATTATTTCTGCAACCATCAACGCAATTTCCAGTGATGTTGTTACATTCATTTTCTGTCTTACAATTTCCGCAGCGATATCCACATTCCTTGCCGTAGAAACCTCTATCACAAACTATAGAGTACACAATTATTAAAATTACATCGTGTATTTCTTAATAAATACGTCTAATACTGTATAATGGATTTGGTATCTCTAGCATGTCATAAATTCTACAGGGTGCAATAATGATGCTTTTATCACTTTTGCAAAATAAATAATTAGATAAATACACAAAAGCTAAACATGAGATATTTCTTTCTCCTTGTCCTCTTGTGAAGGTTTTCTGAGATTTTTAATCAAAAGTTATAAAATTTCATTTAATCTTCAATCATTTTAGAGAGCATTTGTTCTTATAATTAAATAACAATGACATTGAAAGTTTACCATCACATTTGCTTCCAGCCCAATGATCTTGACATCGATCTGGACATATTCCAGTAACGTTGTTACAATACGTTTCGGTTTTACAGTGTCCACACTTCTGTCTACAATCTATACCATAAAATCCATAGCTGCAAACTGAAACAAAATGTAGAGTTACAATTCTTGTAGAAACGTTATTGAACTCTTTATGTTACACTAAACATTTCATTTTTCTTATTGGTAAAATGCAAACGGAGCCCAATGGTCTTGACACCAACTTTGACAAGTCCCAGTTATATTGTTACAGAATGTTCCTATTCTACAATTTCCACACTTTGTCAAACAGTCTCTACCGTAGAACCCTTCGTTGCATACTTTAAAAAAACAAATTCAATATAATATGCCTGGTATGACTGCGTTTCTAAACTTTAGGAAAGTATTAATCCGTTGAATTTCAGGACTATTTCAAAGCAGTGAGGATGGTAAGATTCTGTCTCAAAACTTAATGAAAAGTATTTAGTTTCTAAACTAAGAACTATTTCTTAGAATTGATACATACCATCACATTTCTCTCCAGCCCAATGATCTTGACAACCGTCCTTACAGATTCCAGTTGTTTTGTTACAGTATGTTCCTGTTTTGCAATTTCCACAGGTCTGTGAACATTCTTTACCGTAAAACCCATCTTTGCAGACTAATAATAGATTAAATAAAATATTAACAATGGAAATTCGGTTATATATGCGCCATATCCTTTGTTTCAATGAAAAGAAAAAAAATATTTTAAAATCGAGACTGCCATCTGAGCCAAAAACACTTATGGTTATGAAATACATATTGAGAACAATTTAATTTTCCTTTAAGACTTTTCATTTGATGGGGTACATGCCGTTACTTGATTTTCGCCTTTATACGTGCAGTATTAAATTAACATTTCTATAGATTTTAGCATCCTCACAATGTCAAGAGTTTGTGAGGAGTTCGAGAAATCACAAACCCTTGACATTGTGATGATGAAATTTTAGTAGTGCAACTGCTTAAACAGTAGCTTATTATGTTCCCCAAACGAAGTTGGGGAACATATTGTTTTTACTCTGTTTCTTATTATGTTCCCCAAACGAAGTTGGGGAACATATTGTTTTTACTCTGTTTCTTCTTCTTATTATTATTAAGGTCTTCCGTTTCAGACGGAAGACCTTATAGTGATTCTACTGTTTTTTCTTTTTATTATTATTTTTTTTCCCTTTTCTTGTAAATCGGATTTCTCAGAGATGGCTGGACGGATTTTCTTGAAATTTTCAGGGATGATAGAAAATGAAAATACGCCCAGGCGTTTTTTTCATTTTTTCAAAATTCTCTTCCGGTCGTCAGTTATGTCCGATTTCCGCTTTTTTCAAAATAATTTTGTCTGACTCATATCTCAGAAACAGTAAAAGATTAAGACACCAAACTTATAGAAGTCATAAATCTTGATTAGTAAGCAAGCCCATTTGGGTTAACATCGTCCGCCGTCACTTCCGGTAGTCACAGGAAGTGATCAAAGAAATCGAAAATTTTAACTTTTCTTTTATGAAATTTTTTTTTGCATCAGATAACAACATCTTATTTGTAGTTTCGAAATATATCAGTCTCACCGGAAGCAAAAACGACAACTTCCGGTTATGATAGAAAAACTGCATATTTTCAGTATTTTTTCTTTCACATAAATATTTTTTATAGATAAAGTATTTATAATGATTTTTTGATATGTTATTTAGACTGCAACTGTCTACAGTAACGTCAAATATCTTTATAAAATTCACTTCCGGTTGCGTGAT